CAAGCAAGGAGTTCCACAGATTGACTATGTGCTGTGTGAAGAAGAACTTCCTTTTATTTGTTTTATACCTGCTGCCCATTAGTTTCATTTGATGGCCCTTAGTTCTTATATTATGCGAACAAGTAAATAACTTTTCCTTATTCACTTTCTCCACACCACTCATGACTTTATATACCTCTATTATATTCCCCCTTAGTCTCCTCTTTTCCAAGCTGAAAAGTCCAAGTCTCTTTAATCTCTCTTCAGATGGGACCCATTCCGGACCCCTAATCATTTTAGTTGCCCTTCTCTGAACCTTTTCTAATGCCAATATATCTTTTTTGAGATGAGGAGATCAGATCTGTACGCAGTAGTCAAGATGTGTGCGTACCATAAATTTATATAAGGGCAGTAAGATGTTCTCCATCTTATTCTCTATCCCTTTTTTAATGATTCCTAGCATCCTGTTTGCTTTTTTGACTGCTGCTACATGCTGCATGGATGTCTTCAGAGAACTATCCGTGATGACTCCAAGATCTCTTTCCTGATTAGTTGTAGCGAAATTAGCCCCCATCATATTATATATATGGTTGGGGTTATTTTTTCCTATGTGTATTACTTTACATTTATCCACATTAAATTTCATTTGCCATTTTGTTGCCCAATCACTTAGTTTTGTGAGATCTTTTTTAAGTTCTTCACAGTCTGCTTTGGTCTGAACTACCTTGAGCAGTTTAGCATCATCTGCAAACTTTACCACCTCACTGTTTACCCCTTTCTCCAGATCATTTATGAATAAGTTGAATAGGATTGGTCCTAGGACTGACCCTTGGGGAACACCACTAGTTACCCCTCTCCATTCTGAAAATTTACCATTTATTCGTACCCTTTGTTTCCTCTCTTTTAACCAGTTCTCAATCCATGAAAGGATCTTCCCTCTTATCCCATGACAACTTAATTTACGAAAGAGCCTTTGATGAGGGACCTTGTCAAAGGCTTTCTGGAATTCTTTTGGGATGTACAAAACATTTAACCTGAATCTGTTCAGTTTTTTAACCTGTTTTAAATAAAATTGAATTAAAATTTAAACAAAGTTTTGAATTGAAATGTTTCATTTTTAAAAAGTTAAAACAAAGCATTTTGGTTTTTTGTTCTGATTCCTCTCACTATTCGCCTGACCAAAACATTTTGGTGAATTGATACACATTTGCAAAGTGTTTAGTCAATCTGAATCTGTGGGTTTTGGCAAAGACCAGTTTTGGATGAAAATTTTCCCCCAGCTCTAGGCAATGATTAATATTTAATTTTGGACACTAAAATATCTCTCAAGCAAAATTTCCTATCACTTTGAAGCTGGAAGAGCAGGAAGTTCTTTGGAGTTAATTAGTGGCGTTGCCATGCGGAGGCAATGTATCTGTGAAATGGATAGATTCTGTGATGATAGGCACTGCTATAATCCATAAAATAGGCAGACCTGATATCAGTAATTGTACTATTTTTTAAAGATAAGATTTAGAGAAAAAATAATTACAGATTTTTTTTCCAAAAATGATTATTTCTTAAAATAATTATCATAATAGTTTAACAAGTATGTCCTCTTAGTGGGTGAGGTGACAACTAGTTTGTATCCAGTGACCTGCAGCAGGGCCGGCCCGAGCCGTTCGTGTGCCCCGGGAGCTTGGCGCCGCCCCCGGGAGTGCGACGCATGCGCGGCTCCGCCCCCGGGTGCGCAGCCCTCTCCACCCCCGGGCACTCAGCGTGTGGCCCCACTCTGGGTGTGCGGCGCATGCGTGGCGCCGCCCTGGGCGAGCAAAGCATGCGCGGTGCCACCCCCACCCGGCCCGGCAGCCCCACGCGGTGCCCCTTACAATGGGGCGCCCTGGGCAGTAGCCCGGTTGGCCCGTACCTTAGGCCAGCTCTGACCACCAGATTAAAAAATTACCCAGCACAATTTCTTTAGCTGTATTTTCAAATGTATAGTTTACTGACACCTAATTTGGAGTTTGTGTTCAAAGGACCTTTGTGTCTTGTGTTTTGGGGGGGGGGGTTCCCAATATTCTTGTAGTATATATTACTTGGGATACTAGCAGCTATCAAAAATGAATAATGTAAAAGTACAACTGCTTAAACCTCTTGTACTGCTTATATTTAATACAGTAAGTAATAAACCAGTGGAGATAAATTCAATATTTTGAATCCACATAAAAATTTTATTTTATCCTCAATAATTTCAAAAAATGATTTGCTGATTTGTATATCCAGCAGATAAATTGTTTTGACTCAAAATTTCACTCTGAAGTCAGGAGGAAATGAAAACTCCACAAAATATTTTTTGATCAGCATAAAGTTACCAATTTAGAAAAGCATTGTATTTAGGACAACACTAAAGCAACAGCTTAACTTGAAGGTTGTGCTAAAATGTTGTTCTAAATAAGGAAGGAACTAAGCATGTGATTTTTTTTGAATAATGGCAAAGTCCTTCCACATCTCATGTAAGGATGTTAAGAGGCTGATAACTGACTAATCTTGTAATCAATACAATTTGTATTAACTACATGATTAGTAGATAAGGGAAGTAGCAGCCTGGCTCCTACTACATTTAAACTGCAGATCCGCAGCAGGGGTAACTCCTGGACTGGCATGAACCAGGACAGAGCCGGGACCACTGTGGCTCTGCATTTTAAATTTTAAAATGCAGCTTTAAAATGCAGAACCACAGCAGTCCCGGACTGGCGTGAGCTGGGACTGAGCTAGGCTTGCTCCGTTCTGGCTTACGCTAGGTCCAGTAGCCCCTGTCCACGGTGGCCTGGGCTGGCAGAGGCTGCTGCTGGAGTAGCTTGCTGGGCCCCCCACACGAAAGGGGGTGGTGCCGGGGGAGCCTCTGGGCGAGCCTGGGCCGGCAGCGGGCAGAGGCTGCTTCATGGCAGCTCCCCCGCCTCCTGCTGCTGCCTCTGATAAGAGGCAGTAGCAGCGGGGGTGGAGGAGGCACCACAGAGACGATCCTGGGGGGAGCCAGCTTTAAAGTTGGCTCCCCCCAGCACTGGCTCCTGCCCCCTCCCTCACACCCTGCCTCTGATATAGAGGCAGCATGGGGAGGGATGGGGGAAACAGGTAGTTGACTCAGCTACTTGCTTTCATCCCTAATCTCATGATTGGGAATGTGTAAGTCAAGGAAGGAAGATTTCTTTTGCTTTACAGCCTGAGGATTCGTTCTTTGTGATAGGAGAGAAGGAGGTTCTTGGGCTTCCCTCAGTAATATCTTTTAATAGAAAGAAGATAATCTTTAACATTTAGATTTGGCAGCAGTTTAACAAACAACACAACCACAAAACCAAAAAGCTTTGGTTTCGTTTGGCTCCTATCCCCTGTATAATCAGTATTTAGTTCCAATATTTAGTACTTTCCTGAACTCTGTGATGTTCCTATTAAAGAATTTTTGCTTGTGTGGTTGGAGGATCAGATCTGACCCCACTCCCATCTAAATGACTAATTTAAGAAGTGATTAAATCAAATTTACCTTCTAGAAATGTCACTGAGGCATGACAGCATCAGGTTTTGCTAGCATTTGCTTAGCCGTTTCTCTTTATTTGATCTTACGCTGGTTGAGTTTATCATCTTACCTGCTATTTGCAAAGGTAGCACTAGAAGCTGTGGCCTAGAAAAATCCTCAATTGTATTCTTTTAAAAAAAATCATCCTTAAATTCTTTTCTCATTTTATAGGAATGTGACATCCATAGGATCTATAACATTTGGTTCTTTTAATAATGCTTTAGGTACATCAATGAGAATGCTTTCTTTATGTTGGGGATTGGTCTCTACCCCCAAAAACTGTATTTACATTTTTCAGTGGGCTTATGTTTAAGTGCTTGCCATTTGAGAAGTATCTTAGACCTAGTCTACACTAAAAAACTGCCTTTTGGCGACAAAACAGTGAGATGTAAATGCTGCAATGGGATTTTTGTCAAGAAAAATGCCTATTTTCATCTACAAAAAAATTCCACCCCATAGATTGACTTTTTTCTTTCCCCCTCCCTTTATTGTTAACAAAGAGCCAGTGTAGACACTACTGTTTGTTTTATTGAGAGAACTGGCTTCCACCAGTATCCCACAATGCCTGGCCTGATGCTCTGCTTCTACAGACATGCGCCCCTCCCCTTTCAAAGCTTCCGGAAGTATCTGACAGCCGAGTATGCTGCTGTGTCATTGGAATGCTCCTATTATGCCCTGCACCAGGAATACAGCTGCATGCAGACTAATTCTGTAGGGGGAGGAAGTCAGACTGCTGTGCTGCTTTGACATTCCTCAGCACAAATTGCTCCTAGAGCTACTCTGAGGTGCCGCTCCTAGCAGCTGAGGAAGCTGTGAGACAAGTTGGTGAAAATCCCAAGATGCACAGGGATGAGCTCTGTCTTCCCACAATGCTGTATTGTAGGATACATACTCATAGTGTTCACACTGTTGATGATGGTGTCCCTAATGTGGATGTGATCTGTCGACAGTGGAAACAAATGTGAACACCTTTGGATAATTTTTGTTTTGTTAAGTTTTAGGTGTTGACGTAAGTTTAGTAGACAAGGCCTTAGACTTGAATGTCTCCAGAAAAATTCCTATGTGTTAATTACAAACACTATCATAGAAACATCTGCTTCCAAGAAAGTTTAAAGGAAGAGTGTCACCTTGAGTAGAGCCCTGCGCAGATAGAAAATTTGTATGCATCTGTATCAATATCTGCAACATCTGCATCCACATCTGTGAACATGGATACCCATGATTATAAAGCGGATATCTACAGATTTGCAGAGTTCAAAATACAGAGTTTGTATCTGCGTCCATATCTGCAAAAATGAGCTGTGGATATCCACATCAGTGGATGTAGATATCTGTGGATTTTCAGATTGCAGCCTTACTGTCAAGTCATTAACAATTACCTGTAATTATCCCGTACAAATAGTTTATTTGCTCCTGATGTTCACCACACCCTCTTTCAAGACTGAGGCACCATTGCTCACCTGTCCCTTGGGAATTCCAAGAGGTCATGCATATTGCTTTCTACATCCCGTTGAGGGTACATTTCTCTTTATCCCAACTTTCTTATCACTTTGTTTATCGTCACATCTTTTGTTTCCTAGGTCTGCTTGTGGGAACCCTTGATGTGGTTTTGGATTCCAGTGCTAGAGTTGCCCCTTACCGGATCCTGCACCAGACTCTGGACTCACAAATCTATTGGGCAGTGGCATGTGGTATGTAGTAATGTGAATACTGGCAGGTGGCTGCATACATATCTTTAGCTAACGTTGCATGTTACAACTCTAACAGAGTCATGGTTTCTGGGACTTTCTAATGTATCCACGACTATCTGTAATGATTACAGGTGAATTAATTTAAGAACCTTATTTGCTGTTAAGTCAAACTTCCAAGCAATATGAGTTGCTATAACAGCTGAGTTTCAAAATCTCAGGTCCAGTGAATTCTTAACAGGAGCTTTAATTTCTTCAGAGTTATGTGGATTCTCCCTCCTCTGCGATATGCATGTATGTATGCAAGGTGATAATTTGGAGAATTGAACTGGATTTATAAATGACTCAAGTGTTCTGATATGTTTGTTGGTGGCACAGCACAAAATGGGAACTTGTACAAAAATGAGGAAATGAAGGTTATGTAGGGGACCAAACAATAATCATGATTATTTCTTTATTTTACTGCTATGGCTTAGTCCTTTCCATCCTAATCAGTGCATGATTTTTCCTTTAAAAAAAATGTAATGAGAACTCCAGCCTCACCTACTATCTGCATCCCTTGTCCTTCTAAAGCATCACTGCTGTACTGGAATTTGACGTTTAAGCAAAACTTTTATTTGTAGATAATCCAAGCATGATACCCATATGTACAGAAACTTTTTCTCAACTTTTTCTCAAAATGTGCACATTTTTTTTAACATTACCACCAATAAAATTTCTAAATCTGATAGGGCAGTTTGGTTATTGAGAGGCTTTCAGTCCTATCCACTGATGAAAAGAACATTGTATTCAAACAGATTGATCAGGGCATTGTGGGAAATCTTTGCCGTAAGGACGTAAAACGTGAGTCTAAAAATAATCTCCCTCTGATCCCACAAATATCAGTTTCTGCCCCTGTTCCCCTCCTTCCTCCAGATGGCCACACAGTCTCTCCTGTAGAGCTGCTTAAAGCCTACAGGAGAGGAGAAGCTTAGAACTGCTGCATTCTTCCACAGAAATCCATCAACTCCCACTTGTGGGGAAGAAGACACAGGAAGAAAGCAGAAAAGCAAAATGGTGGGTGAGAAACTCAGAGCAGAAGGAGTAGCATTTTTATGAATGTTCATGATGCAAATTGGGATTTATATAGCAATGTGACGACATCAAATTGTGTAAAAAGGCAGCAGCACAGGGTGGCAGGTGGGAGCTGGTCCACAAGGGGAGTGAGTTTAAAAACCGTCTTCTCACACAGACCAGCTCCCGCCTGCCACCCCACACTGCTGCCTCTGATACAGCATCCCGTGGAGCAGCCTCTGTCAGCGGCAAGCCTAGGCCCACCTAGGCCCACTGCAGACAGAGGAGGCAGCCTCCACTGCTCCCTCCCCCCACATGCTGCGCACGGGATGGGGCAGTTAGCACCGCAGAGCCAGTGCTGGGGGGAACCAGTTTTTAAGCCGACTCCCCCACCCCCTGCTTCCTCTGTAGGAGGCTGCAGGAGGGGGGCAGGCAGGTCCGTGGAGCTGGCACACACAGAGAGTGGGCACAAAAGCTGGCTCCTCATGCATATTGGCTCCCACCTGCCTCCCTCACCCTCCGTGGTGCTGCCTCTCTGTAAGAGGCAGCAGCACAGGGCTTGGGGGAGGAAGGGGGCAGGTGGATCCAGCTTTTAAGCAGGCTTCCCACAGCCACCAGCTCCTGCCTCCCACCTCTTGCTGCCTCTGAGACTGCCTCTTTCAATCCTGATGCAGAAGAAGCAAGGGGGGGAGGAAATGTGTGTTTGTCAACAGGATTAACCAGTAAACCCAGGCTTATCAGTTGATCATGTAATCATCTACATGTTAGCATTCCTAATCACGTACCCCTAGTTCAGCTGGTACTTTGAAAAACAATAGTGGCAGCCAGTTCTTTAGTAAACTAACTAAAGGTTTGTTAGCTAGGAAAATGACAGGTTAAAGCAAGTGAACCATAGTTTGTAATTCCAAATGGTGGCAATGATGTAATAAGCTGCTAGTTTTCCAAAAGTTTTTTTTTCCAGGGCTAAATAGAATAACTGAATGAGAAAACAGAGATTCCCAGAGTTATTCTGCTCTGTTCTGTTTTGCCTGAATATATGCTAATGAATTTAACTCCTTTAATATTCAAACACAACTGAATTGGCCTATCACTCTGGCCTCAATTGGTCTGTCAGCATCACAATTAGTTTCTTAGGCCATGTCTGTAGTTACGCACCAGAGATCAATCTTCTGGCATTTGATTTAGCAGGCCTAATAAAGGCCCACTACATTGAACACTGAGGGTGCCGGTACTCCTTGCAATTGCAAGGAGTAAGGGAAGCCAATGGGCATATTTGTTCCCGTTGACCACCCACTGTGAAGACGGCATCAAGCTCAACTTAAGATATATGGACTCAGCTATGTTATTTACATAGCTGGAGTTGCATACCTTAAGCTGACCTTCCAGGTCTAGTATACACCAGGCTTTAGTTAACTACTTCAGTCCTTGAATTACCTCTATGGGATGCAGTTTTGTGAGCTAAAAGAAAATATATAGTAGATATTTGGTTGTTGATAAAACTATTAAAATATATACCTTAGCAAAGACTTACCGTTATTTACAGAGTTTTTCTATAGACCTTAGACCTTTTGACTGTAATACGGATGTAAGAAAAAAGCATGAAAAAAGACAATATGTTATTACATGTGTATTAAAATTTGTAAAAATGAGGTGCTTTTTTTTTTTTCAATCTCAGTTGAGATTGAAATACAAAAAAACTTATCGGATACACGATTATTCAATTGTCCCCAGGAGCAGGGCCAGCAGCCAGCTCCAGGAAGTCTCCTGCCACCCCGCACTGTATCAGAGACAGTAGTGTGGGGCGGCAGCAGCATCTGTCTCTGCGGGACCTGAGCTTTGCGCAGATACAGGCTGCTCTGCTATCCCACAGAGCAGCCTCTGTCCACTGCAAGCCAGCATCCCGCCTGATCATGTCCCCCCACAATGCTGCCTGTAATAGAGAGGTAGCAGCGTGGGGATGGAGGGAGGTGACTCCACATGAGCTGATACATGCAAGGTGCTGTTTTAAAATCCAGCTTCCTGTGTGTATCGGCGCCTGCCTGTCCCCCTCACCCTGCACACTGCTGCCTCTCTATTAGAGGCAGCAGCGCAGGGGTAAGAAGGGCAGGTGGCTCTGCAAGATCTAGTGCTCATGTGGAGCTAGCTTAAAAGCCAGCTCTCCAAGGACACCAGCTCCCACCTCCCCTCCCACTTGCTGCCTCTGATACAGAGGCAGCAGCGGGGAGGGAAGTGCATGTAGTCGTTAGGATTAACCGATAACCCCAGACTTATCGGTTAATTGTTTACACAACTGTACACTAACATCCTTGTATATGCAACCTCCAATTTTGTCCTTCTTGACTAGTGAATGATTAACTGTAAAGTCCAAACACTCTCTTGTAATATAGCTGTATGTATGGAACAATAATATTCTCATGACTTTAGTGTCTTTCAAACAATAATTATGTATCATGTTCCCTAAAAATGACACACAACAAGAACTGAAGCTCTTGGA